CCAGGGAGGACCAGGACCAGAGAGGACCAGGAACAGAGAGGACCAGGACCAGAGAGGACCAGGACCAGAGAGGACCAGGACCAGAGAAGACCAGGAACAGAGAAGACCAGGAACAGAGAGGACCAGGAACAAAGAGGACCAGGAACAGAGAAGACCAGGAACAGAGAGGACCAGGGCCAGAGAGGACCAGGAACAGAGAGGACCAGGAACAGAGAGGACCAGGGTCAGAGAGGACCAGGAACAGAGAGGACCAGGGCCAGAGAGGACCAGGAACAGAGAGGACCAGGACCAGAGAGGACCAGGACTAGAGAGGACCAGGACTAGAGAGGACCAGGAACAGAGAGGACCAGGAACAGAGAGGACCAGGAACAGAGCGGACCAGGACCAGAGAAGACCAGGAACAGAGAGGACCAGGAACAAAGAGGACCAGGAACAGAGATGACCAGGAACACAGACGACCAGGAACAGAGAAGACCAGGAACAGAGAGGACCAGGGCCAGAGAGGACCAGGAACAGAGAGGACCAGGAACAGAGAGGACCAGGGCCAGAGAGGACCAGGAACAGAGAGGACCAGGAACAGAGAGGACCAGGAACAGAGAGGACCAGGAACAGAGAGGACCAGAACCAGAGAGGACCAGAACCAGAGAGGACCAGGACCAGAGAGGACCAGGACCAGAGAGGACCAGGAACAGAGAAGACCAGGAACAGAGAAGACCAGGAACACAGACGACCAGGAACAGAGAAGACCAGGAACAGAGAGGACCAGGGCCAGAGAGGACCAGGAACAGAGAGGACCAGGAACAGAGAGGACCAGGGCCAGAGAGGACCAGGAACAGAGAGGACCAGGAACAGAGAGGACCAGAACCAGAGAGGACCAGAACCAGAGAGGACCAGGACCAGAGAGGACCAGGACCAGAGAGGACCAGGAACAGAGAAGACCAGGAACAGAGAAGACCAGGAACACAGACGACCAGGAACAGAGAAGACCAGGAACAGAGAGGACCAGGGCCAGAGAGGACCAGGACCAGAGAGGACCAGGGCCAGAGAGGACCAGGACCAGAGAGGACCAGGAACAGAGAGGACCAGGAACAGAGAGGACCAGGAACAGAGAGGACCGGGACCAGAGAGGACCAGGACCAGAGAAGACCAGGAACAGAGAAGACCAGGAACAGAGAGGACCAGGAACAAAGAGGACCAGGAAGAGAGAGGACCAGGAACAGAGAGGACCAGGAACAGAGAAGACCAGGAACAGAGAGGACCAGGAACAAAGAGGACCAGGAACAGAGATGACCAGGAACACAGACGACCAGGAACAGAGAGGACCAGGAACAGAGAGGACCAGGACCAGGAACAGAGAGGACCAGGAACAGAGATGACCAGGAACACAGACGACCAGGAACAGAGAGGACCAGGAACAGAGAGGACCAGGAACAGAGAGGACCAGGACCAGGGAGGACCAGGAACAGAGAGGACCAGGACCAGAGAGGACCAGGACCAGAGAGGACCAGGAACAGAGAGGACCAGGAACAGAGAGGACCAGGAACAGAGAGGACCAGGAACAGAGAGGACCAGGAACAGAGAGGACCAGGACCAGAGAGGACCAGGAACAGAGAAGACCAGGAACAGAGAGGACCAGGAACAGAGAAGACCAGGAACAGAGAGGACCAGGGCCAGAGAGGACCAGGAACAGAGAGGACCAGGGCCAGAGAGGACCAGGAACAGAGAGGACCAGGGCCAGAGAGGACCAGGAACACAGACGACCAGGAACAGAAAAGACCAGGAGCAGAGAGGACCAGGGCCAGAGAGGACCAGGAACAGAGAGGACCAGGACCAGAGAGGACCAGGAACACAGACGACCAGGAACAGAGAAGACCAGGAGCAGAGAGGACCAGGGCCAGAGAGGACCAGGAACAGAGAGGACCAGGAACAGAGAGGACCAGGACTAGAGAGGACCAGGAACAGAGAGGACCAGGAACAGAGAGGACCAGGAACAGAGAGGACCAGGGCCAGAGAGGACCAGGAACACAGACGACCAGGAACAGAGAAGACCAGGAGCAGAGAGGACCAGGACTAGAGAGGACCAGGACTAGAGAGGACCAGGAACAGAGAAGACCAGGAACAGAGAGGACCAGGAACAAAGAGGACCAGGAACAGAGAGGACCAGGAACACAGACGACCAGGAACAGAGAAGACCAGGAACAGAGAGGACCAGGGCCAGAGAGGACCAGGAAAAGAGAGGACCAGGAACAGAGAGGACCAGGGCCAGAGAGGACCAGGAACAGAGAGGACCAGGGCCAGAGAGGACCAGGAACACAGACGACCAGGAACAGAGAGGACCAGGACCAGAGAGGACCAGGGACAGAGAGGACCAGGAACAGAGAAGACCAGGACCAGAGAGTACCAGGACCAGAAAGGACCAGGAACAGAGAGGACCAGGGCCAGAGAGGACCAGGAACAGAGAGGACCAGGACCAGAGAGGACCAGAGAGGACCAGGACCAGAGAGGACCAGGAACAGAGAAGACCAGAAACAGAGAGGACCAGGGCCAGAGAGGACCAGGAACAGAGAGGACCAGGACCAGAGAAGACCAGGACCAGAGAGGACCAGGAACAGAGAGGACCAGGACCAGAGAGGACCAGGACCAGAGAGGACCAGGAACAGAGAGGACCAGGACCAGAGAGGACCAGGACCAGAGAGGACCAGGAACAGAGAGGACCAGGAACAGAGAAGACCAGAAACAGAGAGGACCAGGAACAAAGAGGACCAGGAACAGAGAGGACCAGGAACAGAGAGGACCAGGACCAGGGAGGACCAGGAACAGAGAGGACCAGGACCAGAGAGGACCAGGACCAGAGAGGACCAGGAACAGAGAGGACCAGGCCCAGAGAGGACCAGGAACACAGACGACCAGGAACAGAGAAGACCAGGAGCAGAGAGGACCAGGGCCAGAGAGGACCAGGAACAGAGAGGACCAGAGAAGACCAGGAACAGAGAAGACCAGGAACAGAGAGGACCAGGAACAGAGAGGACCAGGAACAGAGAGGACCAGGACCAGAGAGGACCAGGAACACAGACGACCAGGAACAGAGAAGACCAGGAGCAGAGAGGACCAGGGCCAGAGAGGACCAGGAACAGAGAGGACCAGGACCACAGAGCACCAGGACTAGAGAGGACCAGGAACAGAGAGGACCAGGACTAGAGAGGACCAGGAACAGAGAGGACCAGGAACAGAGAGGACCAGGAACAGAGAGGACCAGGGCCAGAGAGGACCAGGAACACAGACGACCAGGAACAGAGAAGACCAGGAGCAGAGAGGACCAGGACTAGAGAGGACCAGGACTAGAGAGGACCAGGAACAGAGAAGACCAGGAACAGAGAGGACCAGGAACAAAGAGGACCAGGAACAAAGAGGACCAGGAACACAGACGACCAGGAACAGAGAAGACCAGGAACAGAGAGGACCAGGGCCAGAGAGGACCAGGAACAGAGAGGACCAGGATCAGAGAGGACCAGGGCCAGAGAGGACCAGGAACAGAGAGGACCAGGGCCAGAGAGGACCAGGAACACAGACGACCAGGAACAGAGAAGACCAGGAGCAGAGAGGACCAGGGCCAGAGAGGACCAGGAACAGAGAGGACCAGAGAAGACCAGGAACAGAGAAGACCAGGAACAGAGAGGACCAGGAACAGAGAGGACCAGGAACAGAGAGGACCAGGACCATAGAGGACCAGGAACACAGACGACCAGGAACAGAGAAGACCAGGAGCAGAGAGGACCAGGGCCAGAGAGGACCAGGAACAGAGAGGACCAGGACCAGAGAGCACCAGGACTAGATAGGACCAGGAACAGAGAGGACCAGGACTAGAGAGGACCAGGAACAGAGAGGACCAGGAACAGAGAGGACCAGGAACAGAGAGGACCAGGGCCAGAGAGGACCAGGAACACAGACGACCAGGAACAGAGAAGACCAAGAGCAGAGAGGACCAGGGCCAGAGAGGACCAGGAACAGAGAGGACCAGAGAAGACCAGGAACAGAGAGGACCAGGAACAGAGAGGACCAGGAACAGAGAGGACCAGGGCCAGAGAGGACCAGGAACACAGACGACCAGGAACAGAGAAGACCAGGAGCAGAGAGGACCAGGGCCAGAGAGGACCAGGAACAGAGAGGACCAGGAACAGAGAGGACCAGGACCAGAGAGCACCAGGACTAGAGAGGACCAGGAACAGAGAGGACCAGGAACAGAGAGGACCAGGAACAGAGAGGACCAGAGAAGACCAGGAACAGAGAGGACCAGGAACAAAGAGGACCAGGAACAGAGATGACCAGGAACACAGACGACCAGGAACAGAGAAGACCAGGAACAGATAGGACCAGGGCCAGAGAGGACCAGGAACAGAGAGGACCAGGAACAGAGAAGACCAGGAACAGAGAAGACCAGGAACAGAGAGGACCAGGAACAAAGAGGACCAGGAACAGAGAGGACCAGGAACACAGACGAGCAGGAACAGAGAGGACCAGGAACAGAGAGGACCAGGACCAGGGAGGACCAGGACCAGAGAGGACCAGGAACAGAGAGGACCAGGACCAGAGAGGACCAGGACCAGAGAGGACCAGAGAAGACCAGGAACAGAGAAGACCAGGAACAGAGAGGACCAGGAACAAAGAGGACCAGGAACAGAGATGACCAGGAACACAGACGACCAGGAACAGAGAAGACCAGGAACAGAGAGGACCAGGGCCAGAGAGGACCAGGAACAGAGAGGACCAGGAACAGAGAGGACCAGGGTCAGAGAGGACCAGGAACAGAGAGGACCAGGGCCAGAGAGGACCAGGAACAGAGAGGACCAGGACCAGAGAGGACCAGGACTAGAGAGGACCAGGACTAGAGAGGACCAGGAATAGAGAGGACCAGGAACAGAGAGGACCAGGAACAGAGCGGACCAGGACCAGAGAAGACCAGGAACAGAGAGGACCAGGAACAAAGAGGACCAGGAACAGAGATGACCAGGAACACAGACGACCAGGAACAGAGAAGACCAGGAACAGAGAGGACCAGGGCCAGAGAGGACCAGGAACAGAGAGGACCAGGAACAGAGAGGACCAGGGCCAGAGAGGACCAGGAACAGAGAGGACCAGGAACAGAGAGGACCAGGAACAGAGAGGACCAGAACCAGAGAGGACCAGAACCAGAGAGGACCAGGACCAGAGAGGACCAGGACCAGAGAGGACCAGGAACAGAGAAGACCAGGAACAGAGAAGACCAGGAACACAGACGACCAGGAACAGAGAAGACCAGGAACAGAGAGGACCAGGGCCAGAGAGGACCAGGAACAGAGAGGACCAGGAACAGAGAGGACCAGGAACAGAGAGGACCAGGGCCAGAGAGGACCAGGAACAGAGAGGACCAGGAACAGAGAGGACCAGGAACAGAGAGGACCAGAACCAGAGAGGACCAGAACCAGAGAGGACCAGGACCAGAGAGGACCAGGACCAGAGAGGACCAGGAACAGAGAAGACCAGGAACAGAGAAGACCAGGAACACAGACGACCAGGAACAGAGAAGACCAGGAACAGAGAGGACCAGGGCCAGAGAGGACCAGGACCAGAGAGGACCAGGGCCAGAGAGGACCAGGACCAGAGAGGACCAGGAACAGAGAGGACCAGGAACAGAGAGGACCAGGAACAGAGAGGACCAGGACCAGAGAGGACCAGGACCAGAGAAGACCAGGAACAGAGAAGACCAGGAACAGAGAGGACCAGGAACAAAGAGGACCAGGAACAGAGAGGACCAGGAACAGAGAGGACCAGGAACAGAGAAGACCAGGAACAGAGAGGACCAGGAACAAAGAGGACCAGGAACAGAGATGACCAGGAACACAGACGACCAGGAACAGAGAGGACCAGGAACAGAGAGGACCAGGACCAGGAACAGAGATGACCAGGAACACAGACGACCAGGAACAGAGAGGACCAGGAACAGAGAGGACCAGGAACACAGACGACCAGGAACAGAGAGGACCAGGACCAGAGAGGACCAGGACCAGAGAGGACCAGGAACAGAGAGGACCAGGAACAGAGAGGACCAGGAACAGAGAGGACCAGGAACAGAGAGGACCAGGACCAGAGAGGACCAGGACCAGAGAAGACCAGGAACAGAGAAGACCAGGAACAGAGAAGACCAGGAACAGAGAGGACCAGGAACAGAGAGGACCAGGACCAGAGAGGACCAGGAACAGAGAGGACCAGGAACAGAGAAGACCAGGAACAGAGAGGACCAGGAACAAAGAGGACCAGGAACAGAGATGACCAGGAACAGAGAGGACCAGGAACAGAGAGGACCAGGAACAGAGAGGACCAGGAACAGAGAGGACCAGGAACAGAGAGGACCAGGACCAGAGAGGACCAGGAACAGAGAAGACCAGGAACAGAGAAGACCAGGAACAGAGAGGACCAGGGCCAGAGAGGACCAGGGCCAGAGAGGACCAGGAACAGAGAGGACCAGGAACAGAGAGGACCAGGAACAGAGAAGACCAGGAACAGAAAAGACCAGGAACAGAGAGGACCAGGACCAGAGAGGACCAGGAACAGAGAGGACCAGGGCCAGAGAGGACCAGGAACAGAGAGGGACAGAGAGGACCAGGAACAGAGAGGACCAGGACCAGAGAGGACCAGGAACAGAGAGGACCAGGAACAGAGAAGACCAGGAACAGAGAAGACCAGGAACAGAGAGGACCAGGAACAGAGAGGACCAGGAACAGAGAAGACCAGGAACAGAGAAGACCAGGAACAGAGAGGACCAGGAACAGAGATGACCAGGAACACAGACGACCAGGAACAGAGAAGACCAGGAACAGAGAGGACCAGGGCCAGAGAGGACCAGGAACAGAGAGGACCAGGAACAGAGAGGACCAGGAACAGAGAGGACCAGGAACAGAGAGGACCAGGAACAGAGAGGACCAGGAACAGAGAGGACCAGGACCAGAGAGGACCAGGAACAGAGAGGACCAGGAACAGAGAGGACCAGGAACAGAGAAGACCAGGAACAGAGAAGACCAGGAACAGAGAGGACCAGGAACAGAGATGACCAGGAACACAGACGACCAGGAACAGAGAAGACCAGGAACAGAGAAGACCAGGAACAGAGAGGACCAGGGCCAGAGAGGACCAGGAACAGAGAGGACCAGGAACAGAGAGGACCAGGACCAGAGAGGACCAGGACCAGAGAGGACCAGGGACAGAGAGGACCAGGAACAGAGAAGACCAGGACCAGAGAGGACCAGGACCAGAAAGGACCAGGAACAGAGAGGACCAGGGCCAGAGAGGACCAGAGAGGACCAGAGAGGACCAGGACCAGAGAGGACCAGGAACAGAGAAGACCAGAAACAGAGAGGACCAGGGCCAGAGAGGACCAGGAACAGAGAGGACCAGGACCAGAGAGGACCAGGACCAGAGAGGACCAGGAACAGAGAGGACCAGGACCAGAGAGGACCAGGACCAGAGAGGACCAGGAACAGAGAGGACCAGGACCAGAGAGGACCAGGACCAGAGAGGACCAGGAACAGAGAGGACCAGGAACAGAGAAGACCAGAAACAGAGAGGACCAGGAACAAAGAGGACCAGGAACAGAGAGGACCAGGAACAGAGAGGACCAGGAACAGAGAGGACCAGGACCAGGGAGGACCAGGAACAGAGAGGACCAGGAACAGAGAGGACCAGGACCAGAGAGGACCAGGACCAGAGAGGACCAGGAACAGAGAGGACCAGGAACAGAGAGGACCAGGAACTGAGAGGACCAGGACCAGAGAGGACCAGGACCAGAGAGGACCAGGAACAGAGAGGACCAGGAACAGAGAAGACCAGGAACAGAGAAGACCAGGAACAGAGAGGACCAGGAACAAAGAGGACCAGGAACAGAGTGGACCTGGAACACAGACGACCAGGAACACAGACGACCAGGAACAGAGAAGACCAGGAGCAGAGAGGACCAGGAACAGAAAGGACCAGGAACAGAGAGGACCAGGAACAAAGAGGACCAGGAACAGAGATGACCAGGAACACAGATGACCAGGAACAGAGAGGACCAGGAACAGAGAGGACCAGGAACAGAGAGGACCAGGAACAGAGAAGACCAGGAACAGAGAAGATCAGGAACAGAGAGGACCAGGAACAGAGAGGACCAGGAACAAAGAGGATGTTCCCCAACTTTATAGATACATACCCTAGCTTTAAAGTCACGTACCCCAGCTTTATAGTTATGTGTCCCAGCTATAAATTCATGTATTCCAGCTTTAAATACATACTAGATCTTTAAAGTTAAGTAATCCAGCTTTAATATCACACATCCCAGCTTTAAAGTTTCCCAGCTTTAAAGTTTCCCAACTTTAAAGTTTCCCAGCTTTTATAGTTACGTACCCCAGCTTTAAAGTTACAGACCCTTGCTTTAAGTTGGAGCAAACCTGGTTCTGGACGTGTTTCTAAATATACATGAACTCTGTGAGCTCTGAGATCAGAGCAGAAGAATCTGGAAGACGCAGACGGCAGCTCGTAAATCTAACAAAGCAGGAAGTGGACGAGAGACATCGACATCTGCTGCAGAGGCCAGAGACACAGGGCAAGTCAACGATCAGCGGATTTTTTCCGACAACGGCAAAAACGGCATGAAAACAACTCCAACGTGGACAGAAACTGGGAGCAATGTGTCGTCAAGGATGGTCGAAGTCTGCGTTGAGGGGGATTTTTGGTTAGATTGTGTGATCGCTGAATCAGAACAGGAGCGCTAAAGCTAACAGGAAGTGCTCGCAAACAGGCAGGAAGTGAGGCAACGAACCGAGCAGTAAAGCTGTGAAAACCTGTGATAGAAGTGACGCTTAAACCAGGCTCTTGTTTGTATCTTCATATGTGCAGCACCGCCGTAGCCCTCCCCTCAGTCCTCTGACCACCGTACACCAGACTCCAGCCATTTCCACGGGTCTTCGGGTTCAGACTGGACTCACTTGAGGAGATGGGTGGATTCTGGTGTGCTCCTGCTCGGTTGGAATGAAAACCTGCAGCCACACCGGCTCTTCGAGGACAGTTGTTTGTCACAGAAAAAAACAATACTTCTCAAAATACATTTAAATTAAACTTTATTACATACTCTCAATTCGACTCAATATTGGCAGATGACCAATGTCTATAAATGTGAATACATGTCCAGGATCTTCACTCTGACAAACAGACCATAATTAACAAACAGTTCTGACTTTCACATCAGTGTCTCCACATCTGGGACTGAACCTGAAGTTTTTTAGCGCCAATATTTTTACATTTTACTCGTCATTGTCGGCCTCCTGGTTCTGTTACAGATGGTCCAGAGGTACATTTATTTATAAAGCACCATTCAAGCAAAAGCAACTCAGTGCTACAAACAGGCACAGAAGGAACATGGGGAAACAGTACAAGATTTTGAGGAACAAAAACATACATAGAATGCAAAAATATAGAAACAGACCGGGTTAAAGGAGCTATACCCGTTTCTGCAGGGTTTTTTCAGTTTGAATGTTTAGCACGGCCCCAACTCGCTCACAGGCTTCTCATTTCCTCTCATGTAATTATTAACGGACGTAGTCACGCCTATCTGCACATGCGTCAGCTGCACGAGCCCCATTCATTTAAACGAGTGTCTTCAAAAATTCACAGCAACTAAACTAGACTGGTCCAAAACACCCCCCTCAGCATTGACACACATGTGGAACGGAGCTTTGGGCCAAGAGACAACTTTTGGTCCATCCTGTAAAGACGTTTCCGAGAGGAAAGAAGATGCTATATGTTAGCATTGGCTAATTCTTCTATTCTGGGTCCACCCCCATTGGCCCGGGGTGGTATTGCAGCATGTCAGTTTGGACACTTTTGAGCTGGGACCCGCCCCCACTGTTTCCTCTACACTCCCATACGATGGAGCCATCTAATTTTATTTGCGATCTGATGTGTATGCTAACATTAGCATTAGCGCAAATTCTTGTAAGCTGTACAGCAATTACTGATGAAATGGTACAAAAGCAACGCACTGCTAACACAATATAGAACTGAAAGACTATCGCTAGTTTCGCGTTCAAATGTAGTCCGAGCATAGATAGTCCGAGCATTGATAGTCCGAGCATTGATAGTCCGAGCATTGATAGTCCGAGGCGGTCCCGCAGGTCTCTCATAGACAAGTCTTTCCAGAGGATACGATGTAAGCTAGCTCTGTTCAGGGCTTGATTTCTTCTTGGCTAATTTTTTTGCTTTAGTTCCCTCTTCTCTTCCTCTCCTCTCTGTTGCATCGTTCTGCTAACATGCTCCTGCGTTTACTTGCGCTGCAGACGCTAGAGGAGGCGTGGCCTGTTTGTAACAGCGCCGCTCCTCGTTCTGTGATTGGAGGAGAGCGGGCGTCACACTAAGTCTCTACTCAGCACTTTTAACAACCTTAATTCATACACAGCTGAATCAATGAGCTCAAGTTTTCAATTAAATTACGGATTTTAATACAACTTGTATGTAGTAATACGTATTTTTATGAACTCTCTTGAAAATAAACCGGGTATAGCTTCTTTAAATAGGGCTACAGTGGGAGGGCACAGCGAGAAGCATTTTGGACACATTGTTTTTTTACCAGCATGAGAAGAGGCTGCAGTTTGTTTATTTGCCATTTGCTTGATCAACTCCAAATGGAAAATAAATTCTTGAATCTTGAATGAACACACCGCAAATGTATTTTTGTTTGGCCATTGTGATTGCTCCACCCTGCGTAAAGCCTGAAAACATCTTAAGAGGCCTTTTGATTTGTTCTAAGTTTAAGTCACTACAATAATACTGCTTTTAACCTGCTGTGGCTGTGTTTTTAATCTTATTTGAATTCACTCCAACGACACGAAAACTTTTACAAAAGCAGAACGTTGAGGCTTCTGCGAACAGTGAGAGGTTCTTTGGTCCATGTTCATCGTCAGCTTGTGATGTCACATGGACGTCTGGGAGAGTTCTCAACAGAAACAAAAGATTTTTAAGCCCAAAAAAGTGGAGTGTGGAGTCGGGCTCGGATCTGGTCTTGGTCCGGAGCCGTTTCCTCTCGAGACTCATTGTTCGAACATTTCCTGCTTCTGTTTAAACGCAGATAATTTTAGACCGAAAGACAAAGAAACACCAGCTCCAAGGACCGAGGGAGTCCTGCTGAAGACCTGCTTTAGACCTGCTTTAGGCCTGCTTTAGGCCTGCTTTAGGCCTGCTTTAGTCCTGCATTAGACCTTCTTTAGACCTGCTTTAGACCTGCTTTAGTCCTGCTTTAGACCTGCTTTAGTCCTGCATTAGTCCTGCTTTAGTCCTGCTTTAGTCCTGCATTAGACCTGCTTTAGACCTGCTTTAGACCTGCTTTAGTCCTGCATTAGTCCTGCTTTAGTCCTGCTTTAGTCCTGCTTTAGTCCTGCTTTAGTCCTGCTTTAGACCTGCTTTAGACCTGCTTTAGTCCTGCATTAGGCCTGCTTTAGTCCTGCTTTAGACCTGCTTTAGTCCTGCATTAGACCTGCTTTAGACCTGCTTTAGTCCTGCATTAGGCCTGCTTTAGTCCTGCTTTAGACCTGCTTTAGTCCTGCATTAGACCTGCTTTAGTCCTGCGTTAGTCCTGCGTTAGTCCTGCTTTAGTCCTGCTTTAGTCCTGCTTTAGTCCTGCTTTAGACCTGCTTTAGTCCTGCTTTAGTCCTGCTTTAGTCGTCCTGCGTTAGACCTGCTTTTAGTTTTACCTTCACCCGTTGTCCCATTGTCTGTTTCATGGTACGATGACAGGATCTCTGAGCCTGGCCTC